ATATATATATGACTTTTTGAGAAACTGTCTCCCTGTAGCCCCAGCTGTCCTGAACTCGCTATGTAAAGCAAGCTGGCCTTGAACTCTCAGGGATCCACCTGCCTCTGCCTCCCGTGTGCTAGGATTAAAGGCGTGCGCCACCACACCCGGCCTCTACAAGTATTTTTAAATGGTTAAATGTACCACAACAGAGTGTACACCTTGTTGGCATCCTCACAACTGTTGTATTTCTCCTTCCAAAAGAAAGAAGAAAAATAATAGGTATTCTTTAGCTATTGGACATATAAAGAAAAAAATATTTATTTTTGAAAGATTTCCATTGATTTAAGCAATCTACTAACAACTTTATTTCCATAGAATATTCCTACTCTAGCTTAGATGCCGGAAATGGCACCCACTAGCTGCATGTAGCTATTTAAATTTAAATTCATTAAACAAAATTAAACCCACAGTTCCTCAGTGTAAATTATTCACATTTTAATTATTCAACAAGTATGTGCTACTTGTGGCTAATATATCCAGTAGCAATAATAGAGAACATTTCCATCATTGCATAGAGTTTTGTTAGACACAATAGCATTAAATGGTACAGATAGTAAATAAACACCATAAGTTATCTTTCAAAAAACACACAATAATATATATTTAAAAATCAATTAGTGGGATAGGAGAGATGTCTCAGCAGTTAAGAGCAGCGGCTGCTCTTCCAGAGGAGCGAGGTTTCATTCCCAGCACGCGTATGTGGGCTAAGAGCCATCCATAACTCCAGTTCCGGGAGATCTTCTGGCATCTGCAGGCTTTGTACAACATGAGTGCACTTAAATGCACACAGGAAGAACACTCAAATACATAAAATAAAAACAAATAAATAAAAAATCTTTTGTAAAGAATCAACTAATGGGTCCAATGACATTGCCTAGTGTATAAGGGAACTTGCTGCCGAGCTTGTTGACTTAAATCCCACTCGCTGGATACATAGGTTTGAAGGAGAGAACCAATTTCCTCAAGTTGTTTCCTGGCCTCCACACATACTCTCTGGCATGCCACACCAACTTTCATATACTTGCATGCAAGCATACACACACAATTAATTAATTAATGTTAAATAATTCAAAAGACATAAAATTCGGGCCAGGCATGGTGGCGCAGCACTTGGGAGA